AGAAGGGAATTAAACAGTGAAAGTCGAATCTAAAATGTAAATCTTTTTCATTCGTAAAAGAACTCTATCTGTATTTTAAAAAGACTTTAGAATTGGCTTTATCATTACATTTATTTTTGAAATAAGCTAATCAATGCAGATAAAATCATGGAAAAGCATCAAAAATATATCTTCAACAGTCAATTTTCTGATATGAAAGGTATGAATACACTCATAAAGGACAAAAGAGTACAGTTATCACCTTCCTTGACGTGGACTTTAACCTAATTTATTGAGTTGGGTGGGCTTCTTTGTAACACAGTGTAAAAGTGGAAATACTTCCTTCTCCAAGAACATTTATTTACAAAAAAGAAACCCGGCACTAAAATTCAGATCTAAAAAAATTACAATTCACTTTCCCTATTTTCTTCCCATAAGTAGGTTATATAGCTCCCTAAATGTAGGATGGAAGCTATTTGCAATCAAGAAATTCATTTCTTTATACTGCTTAAGAAGATTAGCTCTGGAAACAGATATACATTCAAATACAGGCTTCACCCAATCAAAAACAGTGAGCAAATTCTAATAAACTGTATGATATAAACAGATAATTTATCAATATATTTTAGAGGTGTATTAACTATTTCTTAGACTAATGAGTAAAAAGTTAAAGACTGGATTTAATCAAACCAAGTAAAGAGCTTAGCATTTAAGTTTACAAATATTTTATACATCCTTTGTTATTTTAAAGCAAACTTTATGGCAGAAAAAAATTTTTCTTTCTTATTTCCATAGTAAAATTGGGCACAGCTTTAAGATATTCAGGAAACATTCTTTAACTTTAAAAAAGCCATTATAATTTAATATATCGTCTAATAATTTAAATACACATTTTACAAATTAAAGCAAAAAATTAATCTGGAGTTAATTTCTAGACCTCAAATATCATCTAACATGTGATTTACCCTAAAATTTATAAAAATACAAAAGAGCAAAACATGCTTGCTACACATCACCTTTAAAGATTTGGCCACTTGAACATGGTTGTCATAGACTAAAATGTCTATTGTCAGATTCTGCACCCGGTGGATGTGACTTAAATCACCTTCAAGAACAAGGTCTTGTATTAAGACTCTCCAAGATGGGAATGGGGTCCTGGTGCCATCCCATACCTGCATAAGAAGTAGAACAAAAGTTTAATGATCCTTTTGTAAAATTGTGGAGGCTAGAAGAGTTTTATTTGCTGGTAACATAGCTTAAAAGTAATTAAATATATTCCCCCAAATATCTGTTAAACTTTGAATATGTATATTCTTTCCTGATTGTAAAAGGACTACATATGTATAGGTAATGAATAAAATGTAAGGAAAAAAATTCAAACAGCTATGAGTTTAGAAAAACTATTAACATATTGTTGAATTTACTTATCTTTTTTTCTTCTATGTAGTTATAATATATATGTCTTTTTTTCTTTTTACCAAGCTGGCATTCTATTCTGCTTTTCATTTCTTAATTTATTGCTGGGCAGTTTTTCAGGCAATTTAAATATTCTTCTAAAATAGGATTTTCAATGGCTTCACGTTACTTTACGTTACTTTACGTTTGCAAACAAATTTACTAAACCAATCCCTTTTTTGGCCATTTGACTTGTTTCAAAATTTTTGCTATTTTAAATAATTTAGTAATTACCATCTTGTACATAAACCTTTACAAGTATCTCTGCTAATTTTCTTAAGTATAAATTCCTAGCTTTTAGGGAACTAATCTGACCTCTGCCCATTTTTCCACTTTGTTCTGATTTGGAAAAGGCCTTTGAAAGCAGAGATATGAATATTTTGTTTATGTTAGATGTTATGAACACAAGTGAATTACAATCATGGGTGATGGAAAGGGAAAGGCAGGTTGGATTGCTATTTAAGTCACCTTGAGGTAAGGATGGGAACAGGGGCCCAGGACGAGTATGCACTATCCCATCCTTAAGACCTGAGCTAGCCTGTGCTGTGCTAGGGCTGGAAGAGATGAGCTTGAGGCTATGCTATACTACAACAGGGCGGGACAAAAGACATTTGGAGAGAGGTGAGAATGCCTCTGCATGTCAGAAGTTTGGCTGGGTAAGAGTGAACAGTCTACTTAAATAGAAAACACCACATTTCCTTTTTTTTTTAACTGTTATATTTTTTTTAATTGAAGTATAGTTGATTTACAATGCTGTATTAGTTTCAGGTGTACAGCAAAGTGATTCAGTGATACACACACACAGACACACACACATATATCTTTTTCAGATTATTTTCCATTATAGGTTATTACAAGATATTGAATATAGTTCCCTGTGCTATACATAGGTCCTTGTTGCTTATCAATTTTATATACAGTCGTGTGTATCTGTTAATCCCAAACTCCTAATTTATCCTTACCCCCATCCTTTCCCTTTTGGTAACCGTAAATTTGTTTTCTATGTCTGTGAATCTATTTCTGTTTTGTAAATAAGTTCATTTGTATCATTTGCTTAGATTCCACATATAAGTGATATCATATGATGTTTGCCTTTCTCTGACTTACTTCACTTATTACTGTAATTCCAAGGTCCATCCATGTTGCTGCAAATGGCATTCTTTTTTTATGGCTGAGTAATATTCCATTGTATATATACACCATATATTCTTTATCCATTAATAGACATTTAGGTTGCTTCCATGTCTTAGCTATTGTAAATAGTGCTGCTATGAAAATTGGATGTATCTTTTCAAATTAGAATTTTTGTCTTTTCCAGATATATGCCCAGGAATAGGATTGCTGGATCATGTGAACTCTATTTTCAGTTTTTTAAGGAACCTCCATACTGTTCTCCATAGGGGCTGCACTAATTTACATTCTTACCAACAATGTAGGAGGGTTCCCTTTTCTCCACACCCTCTCCAGCACATGTTATTTGTAGACTTTTTAATGATGGCCATTCTGACCAGTCTGAGGCAGTACCCCACTGTAGTTTTAATTTGCATTTCTTTAATAATTAGTGATATTGAGCATCTTTTCATGTGCCTGTCGGCTATCTGTAAGTCTTCTTTGGAGAAATGTCTATTTAGGTCTTCTGCCTATTTTTTGGAAAACACCGCATATCTATACAGGTATCTGCCAGTGTCAGATTACAGAGAAAGTACTGAATAATGTTGGTGACAGTGCTAAGTTGTAAATAAACAATCATGAGTTTGTGTCACTCATTCTGTTTCCTAAGTTATTCAAAGACCTAGGACAATCACTTTGGGAGTAGTAACATGTCGCATTTTTCTTCACTTGGAATTTGTTCTTTCATTTTGTGTACATGTTTTTGAGACTTTAAAATGGCTTTACAGACCAATCCATGAGTCTTCTGAAGGAGGGGCTGAGAGAGTAGAGTATAAGTCAGACCTTGTGTTGAAATTCTGGAACTTTTGTAATCTTGTATCAAAACTCAATCTGCTATGTATCTGCATAGTTTATACAGATCTAATTCTTTTTTCCAAATAGATAACAATCACCATTTAACAATCCTTTGCCAATTTGAAATGTTAATGTTATTTTTATTATTATAGCAGCAAGGGGACAAGAGAGGAAGTCAAGGAGAGAAATTTCTTACTATATATCACTTAAAAATATCTTTTAAATTTCTGGGTAATGTTAAAATTACCTATCCCAAAGTTAAATACCTTATTAAAATACTACCTCAAACTTTCTATAATTGTTTGTTACTTTTTCAATTTCTTGACTTGAAAGACTATTCTGATATGCTATGCTTTTTTTTCTTTCTTTGTTTATGAAGACATTTAAGGCTCTAAATTTTGAGTATATCCCCAACCATAGCCTTTAATCTCTTCTTATTAACATTATAGTCTTAATAACCTATAATTAAAATTAACTTCTTTTAGAAACAACAGTATGTGGGGGAATCATATCTACTAGAATAATTAAAATGAATGTATTGTAGTTACTAATAAAGAGACCAATATTAGTATCATATCTCAGTTGAGACAGGAAATAATTACGCTATATTCCATGCTGACCAGAACTCATTTGGAGTAAGGTCTGGCTACTTTTGTTTTCAAAACAAAATTTTAAAAAAGTATTCCTAGTTTGGGATAGGAAAATCAATTTCAGAAAAAAAAAATCACTTAAAATTTGACTTCCCATAGATAAAATGAGCAAAATATTGCTATATAGTCCTCTCAATATATTTTTTGCTATGCATATAATACATTTTTAGTATATAAATGAAAGTACATTAATCACTAAAGAGAATATTGTGAATTTCTATATCAATAAGTATATGCCTACAATGTCATTTTATAGTCACAAAGTATTCCACAACACATAAATAATTCACAAAATTCTCTATTGCTAGTATGCGAGTTTTTTCTGATTTTCGTTACTGCAAGAAATATAAATATTCCTTTAAAGGCATTTTTCCACATTTTAAATTATTACTATAAAATAAATTTATGAAAATAGAGTTGCTGAGACAAAGAGCATAGAGCGACTTTTGAGATTTCTTTTAAATTGTCCTCAAGAAAGTCTTACTAATGTAATTTCTTACATTCACTTCTGAATGCTGTATTTTAAAATAATATCTACATGAAAGCTGTTTTTACTTATCTGAAAAGGCTATCTATAAAAATGGGATGCAGGCATGTTTTCTTGCTTTAGAAGGAAAATATAGATTCAGCTACGTCAGCTAAAAGGTGGCAGGTTTTATCTCAGAATTTAAGAATTTACGCTCAATACAGCAGCCAAAAGGTGGAGAATACTTCTCTGCACAGCTGATTTTTTGTCATTGGAAGTGTTCAGTGATTAGCAAACACTCATTTGTTAAATATGTCACTTTGGGCATAAAGTATGACTGGCTGACCTCCTTCTCATTTTGTTTGGATGATTTTATGTTGCTTTAGCTTCAATTTTGTCATACTTAACTTATTTATGTTTTTTTATAGCATGCATTTACTTTTTCAGAGTATTTCATGTGTATATAAATGTGTGCTATTTTCAACTTCAAACACTTTGTATTTTATTCAATAATTTCTATCTTCACTATTCTTTAATATGGGCAAGGTATAACTGATAATAATGCTAAACCCCAATATTTGTCCAAGGGCCAACTGTACTCCATTTCCTGTTCCATCGTTCCAAAGAGTCAGAAACTAAAGAAAGAACCAGAGAAGCAGGGCTAAAGCAGTGTTTGTTTAAATGCATCCTGCCTAGGCTGGGTAGGTGAGGATGGTATCAGACTACTGTCCTCTCCGGAAGCTATTCACGAATAAATTGGGATAGGTGTAAACAAAGATTAGATGGGTCTTATGTCACTTTTTTTTCCTGCAGATTTAAGAAAATAAAATATAACAAGAAAAAATTAACACTTCAAAACCATCCATGACCTACCTATGAAGCAGACAGTGAAATAACATGAGAAGAGAACCCAACATCAGTGGGCCAAGAAGAATGCAAATGAGTGAGAAGGAAGGCTACATCTTGATAGGGAAACAGAAATATGCATTTTTAGAGCTGCAACTTAAAAATAGCAATAGAAAACAACTCATTTTGCTAGTACTAATAAGAAATATATAAACACAATATAAACAATACTATATTTAAAATGTAGATCTGGTAATACTATTTTTCTCTAGAAGTATAGGATAAAGAAGAGAAGTTCAAGAGTAAAGTTGCATAGAAATTACAGGCTCATTAAAAATGGTTAGATTTTAAGTTCTTAGTACACAGTATGCATATTTATTCCATCAGAATGCTGAAATACAAACTCTTTACAGGCTTACAGGTCATGGTAACTTACAAAACAATTTCAAGTATTTAAAAATATCTACCTGTGCTTGCTTCGGCAGCACATATACTAAAATTGGAACGATACAGAGAAGATTAGCATGGCCCCTGCGCAAGGATGACACGCAAATCCATGAAGCGTTCCATATTCTTTTATAAAGCAGAAACTAACACACCACTGTAAAGCAATTATACTCCAATAAAGATGTAAAAAATGATTTAAATGATAAAATAAATACATAAATAAATTTAAAAAAAAATCTACCTTTAGAAGAAATGATGCTCCATCCACTTCTGCTTTGCCCAAGAGCTGACAAGTCAGGTCAAAATACTGCATTGGCTGGACATCACACAATTTCACTAATGTTGAAGAAGGTGAAATATGAGTAGATGCCCAAACACGTAAGGCTTCTACCATTTTGTGGTCCTCAGCGGTGAAGTTAAAACACTTGCTTGAAGTACGAGGTATGATAGGAGCTCCCAAAGTTCCCTCAAATGTCAAAGACGCAAAGCCAGAGCTGGTGATACCCTGAGTCTCCTTTTTATATACTTGGATCTAAGAAAGTGGCAAAGTAGAAAACAAAACAGAAACAAACAAAACAGGTTTACTGATCCAGAACCTAGGAACTGGAAACACTTCTGAGATTATAAAATCTTGCCAGCATAGTTAATAGAGGACATAATTCTTTAAATATTTCATTTAATTAGCATATGAAATTATAAAATCTACTGGGCTATATCAAAATCCACAAGCACCAGGTAAACTGTAAAACGCTATGCAAGATTATTTTTATTTTTTAAAGAGCTAGGTGGCAGCCTCCCTAATACTATCAGGCTTGCAGTTTTACTAACAAAACATTTATTAGTTTTTTTATTAAGGTATAATTCATAAAAGGAAAAAGGATAATAAGTAACAGTTATTTATGAATATTATAGGGAAAACTAGAGCACTTAAAATATAAGAGTTTGAAGTGAGTAAAATGCAGCTGAGGCTAAGGGCTCATCAGTCTGACTGAGACAGCTGGGATATGCCTTAAAAACATTGGCTTTCTGAATTTCAAGGCTCAGTTATTAGATGCACATGCATTTATGACTGTTATATCTTCTTTATAAAGCAACCCTTTTGAACTTATGAAATACCTCTTTTAGTCTCCTGTAATACTGTCTGATATTAATAAATGTATTTATATATTTATTGGAAATTAGAAAATATATTGAACTGAAGGATACTTAAGCTGTGATGTGCTAAAACTTGTTGGATATAACTAATGTAGTATTCAATACATAGAGAAAAATGTATAGAAATAAGTGAATATTTTACAAAAGAAGAAAGGTTAAAAATCAGAAATTTAGGCTTCTATCTCAAGAAGCTGCACAAAGAATATTATTTCAAATCCAAGGAAAGTAGAAAGAAAACATAATCAAGGTAAGAGAAATAGAAACATACAATAGAGAAAATCAAGGCTAAAAACTGGTTCTCTGAAGAGATTTGGAATTCTCTTATATCTCTAATGGGAGTGTAAGTTGGTAAAAAACACTTTGGAAAACTAAAGGCTAATATATGCACAACCCTGAACTCATGAGCCACACTCCTTGGTATACAATCAACTGAAATGCATATGTATCTATGCATTATACAATATATAATATGTAATATATATTATAATTACATATAAATGTATATATTATATAACATATAATTATATATATTCAGTAAAAGGTATGTACTAGACTGTTTATAGCAGCATAATAGCCTCAAACTGAAAACTACCTAAACGACCAACAGAATAAATATATAAATTCTGGTGAATTCAAACACTGGCTGGACAGAATACCATTTAGCAGTGAAAATGAACAAAGTAAAACTATATGTAATAGTGCAGTTGACTCATACAAGCATAAGCCAGAAATTAAAAAAAAATACAAAACCAAAAAACCATAGTGTATTTCCTTTATATAAAGAACAAACACATATGAAACTACATATGTTGTTAGAAGTTGTGAGATTATTTACTCTTGGTGGGGGCGGGGGAGTGTAATGACAACCCCAGGTAGGGGTACAAAGGACGTTTCTAGAGTGTCAGTAACATGAGCATGCTAATACTGTGAAAAGAGAGATGTATATTTTACTTCAATTAAACAATAGCAAGAATTACAAATACAGTTGGCCCCTGAACACGGGCGTTAGAGGCACCGACCATCTGTGCAGTTGAAAACCCCCTTATAACTTACAGTCGGCCCTGTATCCTCAGTTCAGCATCTATGGATTCAACTAACCGTGGGATCCTGTAGTACTGCACTGTTTACTACTGAAAAGAATCTGCACATCAGTGGACCCGAGCAGTTCAGAACTGTGCTGTTCAGGGTCAACTGTACTACAGGGAACAGCAGTGTGTCAGAAATAAGCTATTTTTTTGAAGTTTGGATAAGCCTGTAATATAGTGCTACAATAGTAATATTTCTAGTTCTCTTTATCTTTAAGCAAATGTTCTCCAATATTCTTCTATTCTCAGAGAAAAGGCATTAATAGAGCAAGAGAGTTGTTTCCCACCATATCTTAAGACTAGAAGACATGTGGACTATTGCACTCATTTATGAGCATCAGTGACCATGAGGACCACAGATAAACTGAAGCATTAGAAGAAAAGACAACCAAGATAGTGAAGGGGTTGCGTGGAAGCCCATGTAACAAAAGCAAACTATGAAGGGACTGAAATGTTTAAAACCTAAAAGAATGAAAATATTAAAGTGTTAAAAAGCTGATTTTTAAAAAATCACATACTATTTATTCACTACCTTTTAATTAAATGTTTTCTAACGGAATGCAACTAGTCCGAATCGCGGCAGCTAACACATTTCTGTGGAAGGAGGTCAGGTAGTTTGCTCAAATGAAGAGGTTTCCTAATATAAATCATTTGAAGTCTGATACTATTTACATTTCTTCTTGTCTCTTGAAATGCCTGACGTCATGTTCTAACAAAGCAACTACATAATTAGTGTAACTAGTTTTAGTGAGCAATACAGGGCTCTCTTCAAACTAATATAAGTTCTAAACAGTATGAATTATACCTTCAGCCTGTGAAAGCGAACAATATCTCCATTTTTATAAATCATTGGAAGGGCTTCATAATTTCCACTAAAGAACAGGCAGGTTAACTTTACATGTGTCTGGTCCACAATTGTTACAACTGAGCAATAATCTGGAAAACACAAAAATATTTTACCTGACTTTTCATATTTCAAAGCATTTGACAAAATAATACTGAGTTCAAAACACCAAACATTATTCTTTCCTTTAATCAAGTCTTCTAAGAATAGGATCAAAACATAAAGAAATTTTCTTGTCTCTCAAAATGCACTGCCAAATTATTTTGCAAAAGTGTTCCACAAAAATTCATTTTAGAAAGTTTAATGAAACAAAAATAAAAACCGTACTTAATATAAATTGTCTGGAGGTGTAATAACGTTATTACCTCAAAGTTTAGAAACCATGAAGCAGATAAACATATTCAAATAATATAATTTCTAAAGTAAACATAATTAAATTTAGAGTGAAAACAAAAAACTAGAAGATATTTGCAGCAAATGTGATGAAGAGTCAATATACTGCATAAAGACACTATGAAAACTGGTTATAAAACCCAGATTTTACAGTAAATATGAAAGTCAAATGAACAAACAACTCATAGAAAACTATATGGGAACAACTCAAAAGGGAAAATGATGATTTGCTGGTTATCTATAAAAGGTTACACATTAGAACGAGAGCAATTTTATATAATTTAAGCTGGCATAAAAACCCCACCAAATTTAATGATAGTTGGGTTGCTATGAAAACAAGTAACTTCAATCACTGGTGGCAGCAAAAACTCGAATAGCTCCTACCTTTTAATATACATGTTTCAGAAAATTGCACACTGAGAGTGTGTCTTGACTTCCTTCCTCTAAGTAATATACTCAAGACAGTATAGACAGAGAAAAGGATAAACCCAGAACAGTGAAGGGAGAGGAGAGGGGAGTGAAGGAGAGGGAGAGACGATATCAACGTACTTCAGGAAGTTGGGAAAGTAAATGGTTAAGGGATCAAATGGACAGAGGAGGATGCATCCGGAAGATACTCTAAAGTAGCTACAGCAAAGATGGCAGCCGTTGGGATTAAGGGTGACAGAGAAAAATAGAGCCAAAATCAGGGCTCATGAAAAGTTTACACATAGGACAACTGTTTCAATGAGCACCGATCCTAACCCTTACTCCCCTTGAAAATAACTTCAGGTAGGCAGGTAGGGTATCTCAGTCTTTAACACCAACCCCTTCCTGCAACACAGGCTGCTTTCCAAGGAAGTTTCACTGATAGACCAGGAAGTGGCAAGGCTTCTAATGAGGGTGTTAGAACCCAGAATAAATCCATCTGCATTATCACATTAGGGGGTCTACAGTCAGAAGGCTCTCTTCCCACCCACCTTAGACTGACACTTTCAATCAATGTGCCCTATGTAAGTACTATTTGTCTCTGTCAGATTTCCAATTCAAAAAAACAGATCAAGTTGAAAAAACAAGCTCATTATATACAAAGCAAACAAATGTCTACAACCTAAAATGAACCATAGCTACACTTGTAAATTTGTAAACAGTAAGCCATTACCAGACACAGAACAATAACAGATAGAAGGAAGGGAGGAAGGAAGGAAGGAGACAAGGAAAGAAGGAAGAAGGAAGGAAAGAAGGAAAGAAAGAAGGAAGGACAATGGGGGGGGAGAAGACAGGAGTAGAGAGAAAGGGGGAAGGAATGGGGGAAGTGGGGAGAGCGGAAAGGAGAGGGGAGAGGAATGGAGGGCAAGAGGAGAAAGAGAAAACTGATTCTGTGAGGAGGGGACAATAATTCAGAGAACATAAAAAAACTTTAAAAACAAAACCTTAATAAGCATCTTCAAGAAGAGTAAAAAGATAATTGCGTCTTCGTCTCTTGATATACAGGATCTACTGGACCCAATTTTAGTTTTGGAGTTTCCATTTTCAGTAGTTTTAACTATTTGTAAGGAGTGTTATTTCAGGACATTTTTCTTTCTTAGAAATCTTCCAAAGATTAAAGATAAATTTTACTTATTTTTTAATAGAATAAGACACATTCTTTTTGTAATGATCACATGGCTCTACTGTACCCTTTTATAAATCTAAGATACATTACGGAATCTTAGTCATCTATTTTCCTTTATCTCAAAATATTTTGCTATTTCATTACCCTATAAATTATTTCGTCATTATTCCTATCTATGCTTAAAAAAGACTAAATTAATTTTTTAAATGGGAAAATGAGAAACTTGCCTAGAGGAATGATGCAAGAGTGAAATTAATCATCCCTATTGCACTGCACTGCTCAATGTGTTATAACACCTTTCAAGAAGATATAAACCAGGTTTGAAAACTATCTTTGAAGTTTCTTCTTCAGCCTTAACTTAAGAATTCAGTTAAGAATTCAGAACTGAAATTTTTTTGCCAATAGTCACAGAGAAGAAAATTAGATGGATCAAGAAGCTGAATGCAAAGACAGGTAGCAGCACGTTAGATACTATGGATAATGATGAATGTACTTTGAATAAAATACAAATGCTCTGAAGGTTTTAAGTTTCATATAATATCATGACAGACTAAACACAAGGGCAAAGAGATCACTAATCTAATGAAACACATGAGACCTTAAATTAAATTTCATACCATGACTGAAGTTTAATCAGAGTCTGAAATTATGTTTAATGTTAAAGAATATATTTTGGTAAAAGGTATTTACAGTCCTAAATACAGTTTGGGGTTATGAAATAATAATTAATAATGTGCAAAATGTCAATATTCTAAATTAATTTACAGAAATGGAATAATCCACTTTACTTCTCAGACAGAAAACAAAACAAAAATACAGTACTTATGTTAGCAAGATATCTTATTCCCAGGCCTATAACTAGGGGGAAATTACATTATTTAGCAGTCAGCAATTACTGAGGGCTTACTATATGACAGGAAGTGTGCTAAGCAATTTATATGCATTATCTCCCTGAATTCTTAGATAGTTGTATGTAACAGTTTACAAACGAGAGAACTTAGTTTCTTAAAAAGTCTAGGCAAGGTATCCAAGTGTGAATGTCTTATAGGTCACATATAACTCAGCATATCTGACTCCTGTTTCTTCATTTAACCAGAACACCACACTGTCTGCATGTCACATGCTTTTTTAAACATCAGCAACAATCCCAAAGAAAGTAAAACATTACGCTTAAAACTGTGATGGAGGGTTGAGAGTTTTCCTAAGTAGGTAAAATTATACTGTATCTTAACTCTATATTATTTACTATTTCATGCAGTTATCTTGAAACATACTAAAGGAGAGTTCATTACTGAAGAATAACATATCACTATAATGAAACTTCATCTATAATTTACTCCAGAGGCATCATGGAAACCCCACGAACATCACAGAAAGATTCTACAATAATTCATTCTTATGAGGCTTATATGCATTTGTACATTCTCTGTAATAATTATTTTTTGACTCATAAACTGAAAGAAGAAAAGAAGAAAAGGAGACAAAAAAGAGTTATCTCCTGAGGTAGCTGAACAAGAGTTAAATCCTAGTGGAAAGACAAAAGCAATAAAAGAAGATGTATGTTTAAGGCTACTTAAAGAGGAGTTAACTGAATTGTGAGTGTAAGAGGACAAAGGAGAGGGGCTTCCCTGATGGCGCAGTGGCTGAGAGTCCGCCTGCCAATGCAGACAACACAGGTTCGAGCCCTGGTCTGGGAAAATCCCACATGCCATGGAGCAACTGGGCCCGTGAGCCACAATTACTGAGCCTGCGCGTCTGGAGCCTGTGCTCCCCAACAACAGAGGCCGCGATAGTGAGAGGCCTGCGCACCGCGATGAAGAGTGACCCCCACTTGCCACAACTAGAGAAAGCCCATGCACAGAAATGAAGACCCAACACAGCCATAAATAAATAAATAAATACATTGTGTAAAAAGAGTAAGATGATATGAACAAGATCAATTAAACCTTTAAAAAAAAAAAAAAAAAAAAAAGAGGACAAAGGAGAGAGCACAGTACTATAAATCAGGAGTTGGCAAACTATGGCCCATAGCCAAATCCATCCCACCACTGGTTTATTAGCTTTACAAAGCATTCAACTTAAGTTTTCCAAAAAAAATCTTTTCACATTCATATTCATTTGGGTGTATCAGATTTAATGAAATTACTTAATTAGAATAACAAGTAAAAGGAGTACAAAGAGATTTGGGAACCAAATTGTAAGAATGCAATTCTTTCGAGAATACAGTTCCACTAGTGGTAGCAGAAATGAGCCAGAGCATCAGGGCTACGCAACTCCCAGTCACCAGTTCCTAGTTGTGAAAGCTTAGGGTGACAGAAGCATCAGTAACAGCGTTTTACAGACGGACTGTAGAACGTTTGTTCATTGTCAAATCAGATAAGAAGTTGCTTAAGAAAGTTTCTAATTTAAATAATAACTTGGCTGTAGGAAAACACCCAATGTGTCATGAAATAAATTACATATATTTATTGTGTAACAAAGATATATGTGTACATAGTAAATAATTTTCAGAACAGTGATTGTATCTAGAAGATTTCTGAAGAATGCCAGAAGGAAAGTAGACACTCTTTAATCAGAAAACACAGAAAGATAGGCTTCCAGATTTAGTATTACGTCTTCACAGTTCACAGCATCTATAACACATAGTAGCTGATCAACCATCTTTACTAAATTAATGCATGCCACTACCTACAGCAAATATACAGTACTTGCAAAAATTCTCCCTCTCTGAAGCCTACTGCAGACACTGAAAATCATTTAGCCTCTTTATGCCTCAAATTCCTTATCTAAAAAATGGGGAAAATAATACTATTCACTTCATATGATTGTTAAAATTAAATAAGTAATTACATGTAAAGTATTTAAAATAGCACCTAGAACATGGTTAAATGCTATGTATAAGAGGTGACCAGTGGTGGTAGTAGCAGCAGCAGTAGCTACAGCAGCATTTCTATTACTGATAATTAATCATAACATTCTTTTCTAATGAACACAGACATGATCTTAGAATCTGTCTTAACGAAGTACATGAAGATACTTTGCCAAGATACAGTGCCAAACGGATCACAGTCAGAACATAAAATCAAAAGTATAGATGTAAGGGAT